TGTTGTCGCGGAGTTCCTTCAGAAGTCTTCTTCTCTGTATCATTTCTTCTTGCTCCACAATAATAGCCGCGTACATAATAATTACCTCCTCCATGATTATTATTCTGCAACCGATACTATTATTATAAGCAAAACGCAACTAACTTTTTAGCATACCTATTTAGGCAAATAAAATGGTTTAACAGGTTTTATTTAAAAAAAAAAATGTGTCACTTTTCTCAGCAGAATTAATAAAATTGAAAATATTAACTTATGTCTTAGCGTTGTTACGTACTCAATAGGTCATCACAAAAATAATAGCAATTGTCGCCGTTAGAGCTTTCAAACTGCCCTCTGCCTACCTAAACGTGGCAATTGATTATAAGTATGGCAATAGTTATAGCATCGAGTTTTGTCGCTGCACGCGAATCATGGTTGCCACTCGCCAACATTTTTTTCTACCAAAATCTCTTAAGAAAAGTTACCAAAAGTTACCAAATCTTCAATACCAAAATCTTCACTTCTTCACTGAGAAAAAAATATACTGAATAAAACTGATGTATTTCATAACAAATGTGTATATACTTACAGCCCGATTCTGTGCACTTAATAAATTCAATATTTTTATAAATTGTCAATTTTCGATTATTTATCAAAAACTCCCAGTTCTAGCAAAGAAGTTTAAATCTATTTTCTTGATAAATTACCAAGACTGAAATTGCTATTGACAATTATAAAAATTTTTTTTTTAGAAAATATTTTTCTATCAATTAATTACTGCATGTGCCGATATTCTCGTTTTCGTTGTTGGTGTTTCCGACAGGGTAGGAGTATGATGCAATGTGGAACGATTTTTCGTCATCTTTTGGCAAATTTGGTTTGGAGACAAACCGGTTTCGGCGTTGTGCCATCTTCAGTGTCATTTTTCGTTCGGAATGTGCCGATATTTGAACCTGCGAAATTATGATTACTCAAAAGTTCAGTTACTCGAGTAATCAAGATTTTTGATTAACCACAAAAAATTATATTTGAGTAATTTGCTTTATAATTTATCAACATTTCGAGGAAAATGATTAATCAACATTTCAACTCTTTACATACATACATACAACCATGATACCAAAAATAAGGTAGTTCCATTGTCACTTTTTCGTCTCCATATTAACAACCTGACAATTAAGCAGATTGTGATATTTCATGCTACCATACCCAACATCTAAAATCCTTCAAATTTTCTTATTAATATTTTGTCGATTTAAAAATATTTTGTTCTTAAGCATAGCATAATAAGAAATAAACAAAAAATAAGGGTGAAATTCCACAACATTTCCTTGAAACATTTTTGCAACATGAAGCTAGCAACACAATTTTCATGACATTTTTAAATACACATGTATATTTTAAATTGTGTGAAAGCTGACAGTTTATAGAATTCAGTAGCGACGAAAACAAAGGGGGGTTAAGTGGTTAAACCTTACCCAAGCCGATCATAAAACTTGCGACGCAATTTCGGCTTATGGCTGTGGGTCTTGGCAAGAATGTAATCCCTAAAGGTTTAGCTTAAAATGGTTTTCGGGATACTATGTGATCATGTCACTTTCCAGAAGGTGTGGCGCAAATTTTTTGGCGCTGACACACTAACTCCAGCGCCACTGTCGGAATCAGCACAGTGTGTTGGCGCAATTGCGCCTCTTCAGGCTAAAGCTCACGCTGGTGCACGCTGCACCAAAGTGAATTAATACAAGGTGGTATCGGTTGGGCAAAAACAACTCAAGTATACCCAAGTTCAAAACCCAAAAATACAACAAACACATAATTTTCACATTCAGAAAAATCGCGGCTAGTTTTAGCAACACCACCTTGTAAAAATTCGCCTTGTGCTGCACATTTTACAAGTGACACTTCGCTTTTGTATGTTCTTTGCTGGTTATTTGCGCCGCCCGGTGTTGTCAGTGTTACGGGGTTGCTGGCGCCATTGCGTCACTGAGTTGTAAAAATTGGTATCGGCGCCAGTAACTCAGCTCTCGGTATCAGCGCAATGGCACGGCGCCGCACTGTGTTAGCCACGGCTAAAAAGTACCTCATCTCAGTATTCTAGGTAAATGCTTCCAGGGGTATTTATGCGTCACCAGAATTTTAGTTTATTTAGCTTATACCGCTAGCTCTTTTCAACGGCTACGAGATTGTTTTTTTATAGGTTTGGGATTGATTTCATTTACCTCTATTCCTAGTTCTACGGTGGCACGCCGCATTTTCCAATAAACTCATATTTTTCCATGAGCTTGAGATTGACTTCATATACATATATCGATACAAAGTTCCAGGACTCTACCACAAATACTTCCAGAGATATGCACTATGAAAAATTCGATTTGTATGGGAGGTTCTACACGCCCTTTAGATATCGGTTTTGTTTTAGCCTATAACCATTATTGGAAAACTTGTGTCCGAAATTTCAAAAAAAGCCGGTATGGGCATTGTGACTCCTCAAGCGAAATGAACTAATCAAACATCGTAGTTGACCAAAAAAGAATTTTAGACTTCATTCTCTCAACCTCTCAGAATGTAGAAAAGCTAAGAAATATATAATAAGATAGGATATATTAAAACAGCCTCCAAAACATTTACTAAGACGCCCCTGGTCTACACAAATCAGTTTTATTGAAAATTTGTTTTTATCTATTTATTTTATCCTTCAATTTTGGGTGTGTCAAAATTTTATGTGAAAACAATATGTGTTGCTGAAAAATTTTACGGCCCATGGGTTCCAAAGTAAATTCCATTGCTGTTAAATGGACAAAGACAATATGTATTCAATAACACATCGAAATGTGTAATTTCAGTAATTTGTGTAAATGTGTAATTTCAGAATTACATCAGAATCACGTATCCGATATAGAAAACTACATTGAGAATTAATGAGATGACATGAGGACACTAACATAATTTTAAAATATGTTCACTAAAATTGTAGTAATATCAAAATAATGATTTGGCAAGTTGTTATCGAATTTAATGTAAAATTTAAGTGTTTTCAAGAAAAGATATTGATTATTTTAAAAGTATATATTAATACAACTATTTTCTTTATAATCCCAATTTTAGGATATAAAATGTCCCACACCAAAAAACTTACAATTGGGTAATGCCGCTTCGAATTTTTCACAATTGAGCAATTGTCAAAAATCTGCTTTTTAATCAAAAAGTTGTTTACTGAAACTACCTTCTTTTTTGTATCATGCATACAACAACGTTTCTGTTTTAAAAAATTAAAACGAAACATTTTTTCATATACAGAATTAAAAAAAAAAGAAAATAAGCATTTTCCAAAGCAAACTCTTTTAACGAGCAAAATTATTTTTTTTGAGTAATCATATTTCAAGTAACTCGATTAATCATCGTTTCGAGTAATCAAAATCTTGATTACTCGAGTAATTGATTAACCGAATAATTGATTAACCAACTTGCTCATGTAATCGAATAATCGCACAGCCCTAGTACGTATCAAACGGACCTCAGATTCGGATTATGTGGGTCGAAATACATGTCGGTTGGTGGGACTGGTAAAAAGCACGCGACATTTTTTTTTTGTGCCGGAATAATCAAAACGATTTGTGGGCCTTACCAAAAATTGCCAGATGGACGAATTTTTATAACATTTTTACTGTAGAATTCAAATATCGCAAGCATTCGAAAGTTGTTTCAGAAGTGCAGCCCGTGGTGCTGCCACTGTAATTCAAATATTTCCAGTATTCGAATATGAGATGACTGTAATTTTATCGAAGTAAATTTGTAGAAGTGTCAGTAGTGCTGCCACTGAAACTCGGAAGGTTTTTATAATTACGCACAGGCAAAACATAATTCATTTCTTTCTAGTAATGCAAATAGATGTTTGGTTGCAAAAGTTACCAAAATAAAATAAAAGTTACCAAGTTACCAAATCCTTTAAAAGTTACCAATTTTGGTAGAAAATTACCAATTGTGGCAACCATGACGCGAATAGGGCTGCAAATCGCAACAACACACAAAAGAAAAGAAATAATGCGGCAGCATTTGAAGCAGCCCAACAATCGAAACAGCGAAGATGTGGCAAGGAACTCAACAACGACAGTTCTAAAAATAAACCAGAAAGCAACAACAGAAAGGAAGTATTTTCTATATTGCAATATCTATGTATGTACTTGCCCACAATTTACACAAAAGATACCTCTTCATGCAATCTGAGAGCCCATCGGTCATATTCCGAAATCATATTTTCCACCCTCCTTCAACCATTTCTTAAACATGCAAAAACACATTCTAAACAATCATTTCTAAAGCGCAAAAGCAAATAATTATTCATAAGAGCACAGAGATTTTTGTTTCTCTTTATTGTTTTCCAGGTCAGTGAACTAAACACGCCTGCGCAAAGTCTTACATGCAAACTCACATATTTATGTTTATATGGATCCAACTCATAGCACGTATTCCATGCAAAATCAAATATTTGCGCACTCACTCAATCCAATTTCCCCAAATTCTCGTCGCCTGGTCACCCCTCTGGGACATATTAGTACTGCATACACACATACACATGTGTGTACATATGCGTGAAACTCCCCCAGCAAAATCTTTGCTTACCAAGAATCGGGGTGGTAATGCGATGAATGTTGAGGAACACATTACCAACCTCATGAGACCACCGCTGATTTTAACACAGGCATGTCATTAGGCGGAAGCGCTTGCCATTTGCAGTACTGAGAAGCACTGTTGTAACACGTTCACAAAGTGTGGATAGAATCGATGATAATCGCATTACTCAAAAGCACAGCTGTAACGGGTTCCCAATGTATGGCTAGAAGGGATGATGAATCGCATTACTCAAAAGAGCTGCTGTAACGGGTTCGCAATGTATGGCTAGAAGGCATGATGAATTGCATTACTGAAAAGGGCTTTTGTAATCGCTTTGGAAAGAATGAGAAAAATTTTAAAGTTTAGAACTCGTATATTGAATACATATTTTTTCATATACATACATTTCATTTATCCTTATTTTCTAAGCACACTTTCTTGAAGTGTTTATTTTTTACACAGCGCAGTCCATGCCGCAAGTCATGTAAAAAATCGTCAACTGTTTTTCCTTCCACCACTGTCGCTTCTGAAAAAAGTATTAAGTATTAAAAACCCTTATTTTATGTAGCATTACATTATGTATTTAAAAATGTACCATATAGTATGTTCAAGCATTTCGGGAAATTGCGCAGCCTTTTCTTGTTGTTTTTTCATCCACATTATACTCTAGACTTACTTCGGTTGCAATGAGTCTCTCCATATTTTTGCTCCATCCTCCAGGTATAATAAGTTTTTTCAAACTAACAATCTGCAAATATTTTAGAAAAAAGAGGAGAAAAATGTGAACACAAGAAAAACATTAAATTAACGAATATTAAATCACCATAGCTTCTTTGTTGTCCTCTGTAATGTCTTCCTCTAACTGAATTAGGTCCTGCTCAGAAGTCAGAGGAAACCTTTTTGTGTATATAGCTAGACCTGGTCCAGTTTTCGATAAAACAGATTTTAACATTGCCACTTCTGCTGTTAGTTGTAATATGGTATCATTTTGTGAAGATACAGTACCTAGAAAAAATTAAGACAAAAAGAAGATTGAGTAAACTTAAATATTTTAGAACAACATATCAGTTACTTATAAATGAGATCTGAAACTGAGGTTTCAAGTGATTGTATAACGTCTACGAGTTCTTTAAGGCGTGCATCCATTTCAAAATAATTGAATTTTTTATTTGTTTATTATTTTATTTATTTGTGCAGTGTTGGAGCAATGGTATTAGGTTAGGTTAGGTTGATGTGGCAGTCGGTTCAATTTACCAACTCACTTAGACCTTTTGAAGGTCCATTGTGGTACCACTGCAGAACACGGGAACCTCGGTGACTATTCTTCAGAGAACCAATTTGAGGCTCTTATAAAGCGTAGAATCGGTTTTATTCATACGCGTGATAATTCCGCAAGAGAGCTAAAGAAGGGCCTGCCTAAAAAGCTTGCTCTCCTCTTGTCCAAAGCTGGGCAACTACAGAAGAAGTGCTCTACGGTTTCTTCCTCTTCCTCATCTCTGCACCTCTGCAGTATTCATTGGAGAAAATTCCAAGTCTTGAAGAGTGCCTGCCAAATAGCCAATGACCGGTTACACAAGCCGTGACCTTCGCAATGTCCTCTCTTGAGAGGCACAGCAACTCTTTCTTTCTTTCTTTTTCTTTTCTATTTGCTGCCAAAGCAGCCTGGTTGTTCTACATGTGCCCTCCTCTAGCCATGACCTGTTGGCCTCTTGGATCATGCTATTTCGAGGTTCTAATTTGCAGGTTGCCATGGGTATCCCAATAGTGCCCCTGTTTTCACATAGGGGTACATTCGTACCTTTCCTGGCTAGCTCATCGGCCCTGCAGTTTCCTTCAATATCTCTGTGTCCCGGAACCCATATGAGGCTGACCTTGGACAGGGTGCTAATATCGTTTAGAGCTGCGAGGCATTCCTGCGCAACCTTCGACCTCAGCCTTACCATGTTCATTGGTCCGGAATTCGGACGGATAGTTCCAGTCCTAGTTCCTTAGAGAAAACTCCGTAGCAAACCCTATTGTCTAGCTTGGATCCATCTGTGTAAAAATTCAATTCCCACCGTCTCCATGGTCTTGGTGTTTGCCATTCTCTTCTTGACGGGATGCTCGTCTTAAAGAGCCTATCGAAGATTGGTTTGGGAGCGGAGTAGTCAACTTCTTGGTTGTAACTACCCAGAGTGTGAAGAATGGAAGCGTGACCAAACCGCCGGCCCTTCCATAGCACCATACTTTTTAGTTTGAGCGCTGAATCGGCGGCCGCGTATTTTCCCACCAGGTTTATTGCGGGAAAATTGGTAATCACCTCCAGTGCCTTATTTGGGGTGGTCCTTAAGGAACCTGAAATGCATAGAGACGCTGTTCTTTGGACCTTACGTAATAGTTTTAGGTAACTTGCCTTTTGAGTTGCTGGCCACCATACAAGTATTCCATATAAGAGTATTGGCCTGACCACCGAGGTGTATAGCCAATGTGTAATACGAGGTGTTAACCCCCACTTGATTCCGACCGCTTTTTTTCATGTGTATAATGTAACGTTGGCCTTCCTTACTCTTTCTTCTATATTAGGTTTCCACGTTTGTTTCCTGTCTAATATGAGTCCTAGATACTTAACATTCTCCTTCAAGGATATCTCCACACCCATAAAGATTAGCGGGGAGACTATGGGAAGCCTGTGTTTCCTTGTGAAGAGAATTGCTTCGGTTTTCTCGGGGTTTACTCCGAGTCTCCTACTCTCTGTCCAGTTCCTAAGCGTGGCCATGTTAGAGCGCAGAATCTTCGTGAGGGTATTTGGGTATTTGCCTTTGACGGAAATTGCCAGGTCGTCAGCATATGCTGTGACATGGCAACCCCCCCTCTCTAATGCCACCAGCAGAGAGTTCACCGCTAAATTCCAGAGAAGAGGGGAGATAACCCCTCCCTGAGGAGTGCCTCTACAGACCTTTCTGCTTATTGTGGTGTTGCCAAGCTTAGCGGTTATCGTCCTGCTGACAAGTATAGACTCGATCGGCACCGCCACATTCTGGTCAACTCCAAGCTCTTCTAAGGCACCCGTTATGGCGCTTGCGTTAATATTGTTGAAGGCGCCTTCTATATCTACAAAGGCAACCAGAGCATACTCTTTATCTAATCACCTTTTTTCCACCAACCCGACGAGCGAGTGCAAGGCGGTTTCCGTGGATTTGCCTTTCGTATAGGCATGCTGCGCTGGGGAGAGCCTACTTGTTGGTATCACGCCCCGTACATAATCATCCACTATCATCTCTAAAATTTTGAGAAGGAAAGACGTAAGACTGATGGGTCTGTAGTCCTTAGGGTTGGTATGAGAGGACCTGCCCGCCTTGGGTATAAAGGAAACTTTTGTCTCTCTCCAGCCTAGCGAGATGTAGCCCATGTTAAGACAGCTTCTTATAATAACCACAATGAACGGGAGAGATAATACCCCGTGATTGCTGCAGCTCTACCGGGTGTATTCCATCAAGTCCCGGTGACTTGTAAGGACCAAAAGTCTTAATAGCCATTCGATTTTTTCGTTAGTATACAGTCGGTTTCCCAGATCAGATAGCCCCCCTTCATTCGTGGGGTCATTAGGTTCCACCGGCTTGTTTCCAGGGAAGTGTGTGTCCATGAGTTCCCTTGACCCTTGAAATAACCAAGGTTGCATGGCGACTTTGCGAGAATTCTTCTTAATCTGGCGGCTTCCGTGGTTTCCTCAATTCCCTTGCAGTAACTTTGCCAGGATTTACGTTTCGCAGTTCTCACTGCTTTTTTGTATATTTTCAGATCAGCCTTGCAGGCTTCCCAGTCCTCTGTTGCTCTCGTGGCTTTGACCTTATTGACCATTGCCCTATTGGATTCACGTAACAAGGACAATTGTTTCGACCACCAAGGTGGTTTGTTTTTTCCCCTGTATCGAACAACCGGGCATCCGGCTGACAAAGAACTATTCATGGCTTTAGTAACCTGATTAACCAACCCATCACGCTCCACCTGCGTGGCGGGGTCTCGGGGAGGTATCTTTGGCAGTAAAGTCCATAATTTATTGTTGTAAACCCCCCAGTCGGTATTTCTAACATTTCTGAACTCCCTTACTTGGGGGGTCTTAAGATCTATTTCGAATTCAATATAACGATGGTCAGAATAAGATTTTTCATTCAGTACTCTCCATCTCGATTTTATGGGCAAACATATCTGAAGCCAGGGTTATGTCCAAAACTTCGTCTCTACTCTTTGTTATAAAGGTCGGCTCTGAGCCTAAATTCAAGACACTAAGTTTAATCCCTAGAATGAAGTCTAGTAACGACTCATATCTAGCATTCGTGTCTGTACTCCCCCACATCAAGTTGTGGGCATTAGCGTCGCCGGAGACAACCAGTGGTTTACTCTTGAAGGCTGCTTCCTCGGCCAAGGTCCGAAACCCCTCTGGTGGCACGTCCTTGTCATGGGCCATGTAGGCAGAGGCTACCCAAAAGCTGGTTTTGTCCAGCTCAGTGATTGCCGCTACCAGATCGCCGTCACTAAGCTGTGGAAGCAGGAAGATGTTTAAGTTGTTCCTTGCTAATATGCAAGCTCTAGTCTTACATGCATTTTGCGCGGCAATAAGCTTAAAGCCCTTCATCCCAAGCCCGCAGATTTTATTGCCGTGTATCCACGGTTACTGCGTGAGGGCAACGTCGATTCCACCGGCAGCCAGGCGGACCTCAAGGTTCGCAGACGCGAGTTTAGAGTGGTGGAGGTTGATCTGCATCAGCTTCATAAGAATCTGTCCACCATCGTGACATCCACGTCCGCCTCTTCCTCCCTCCCTCGGTGTCATCGGCGAGGGGGCCTTCTTCGTAAAATAATGGCCCCAAACCGGATAGCCTCTCCGAGTTGGATGAGCATTAGCTGCTGGGCAACCCTTCTTCACCACCGCTGCGCAGGCCGGACTTGTCGCTCTCCTCACTAAGGTCCAAGCTCGGCTCGTCGCTGCGGTAGATTCGAATGGTTGCGTCATTAAACCCGAACCTCACCACCCAATCCTTTTGCGCCAGTGGGGCTATCGATTCGGCGTTGAGGATCAGCAACACCTGCCTTCTATTCCCCACTGGCTCCTCTATCTTCCCTGCCCTCCAATTGTGAGTTGGCAGGTCCTTATTACAGGATCTGAAGATCCGCTCAATTCTTTCAGGCTCGGCGGGTTTAGCCGGAATCCAAACTCGAGCCCTCGGTGGGCTAGGAATATCTTCCTTGCTGACGGCCTCGAGGTTGGCTTTTTTTTCTAAACTTCACCTACCTTACTAGCGGCCAACCTATAGAGCTGGGCTGACCTATGGTCCTCGCAGGCGATGAGTTTAGCTCTACCCTGATACCATCCGAAATCATGGCAGAGAGGAGGAGGTCCAGGATTTTCCTCTAGGACTTGGAGGTAGATTTCGGCGATCGCTTCCTCCACCAACCTCCACTTCTCTTTGGGGATAGTCCCTTCCTCCTCCCCTCTGTCGATGATGGCCAGTACCTCACCGCCTCCCTTCACTACGTCCCTGAAGGTGGGGTATTTATGGCCACCTGTTTTCGGTCTTTTGACGACCCCACCCCCTGCCTGTTCAGCAGACCGCGGCCTTTTTGGAGCAGTGCCTGCCGGTTTTCCCAAGCTGGCTACTACTCCCCTCGCCCACTCCAGTGATCTAACCTGCTCCTCCGTGAGCTGCTTTATCGGCAGGTCCCCGATCCTGTTGACGACCCTCATGGCCGCCTTTTTGTCATAATATGCCTGCTTCGAGGGGCGGACATGTTTAGCCGACACCCCAGGCCTGTGTTTGCAGCTCTTCTCGAGCTGCTTGGAATGTCGGCAGCATCCTGTCGGGTTACTTTCGAAGCAGGTGCCGCACCCCGCCCTTGGTTAAGGTGTGCGTTCTTTGGGGTCTGACTTCCCTAGGCGGAGCTGATGCTGCAGCTCCAGCCATGAATCGGTTGGAGACCGGTTTGCCCAAGCCTCCCACTCCCCCCTATACCTCC